CCTCCCTCCAAGGACAAGTGCTAGATCTAAAATATGGAACTCGCTGACAGATGATATAAGAATGTCTATTAATCTTTTTGCACTCAGAACAAAACAAAGCTCAATATTTCTTAAGCCATTCTCACAATACTGCTCTCACGGATCAACCCATAAAAAAACGCTGCCTCTTGCCAATATAAAAATAGTTGAAACAGTGTTGTTCTTTAGATAATTTGAAAAAGAATCAGATCTCACTATCATGACAGCCATATAAACACTCAGAATGCTGATCTTAAAAGCTCTTTTCCACATTAATATCTACCTCATGTACAACTAAAACTATTCATTTTTATTATACCTGTAAGAGAGGATCTACTCATTTTATTGTATACTCTTTCTGCTGCTATCAAGAAAAATCTCTACTTGCTATTTCAGATTCTGATTTAAATGAGTAAGGTGGAAGGTAAAAGGACCGACATAATCAAGAATCAATGGAATCTGATCACTTTAGTCACAAAAGAGAGAAAGTGAAATGGTTCAAACTAGTGCTCAATAAACAATAGGTAAGGAAAATGAGGGAGGGGGAAAAAAAAACCAACAGTCTTTCCAAGATGCGATAGAACTGTGTAACAGGTCTAGGCAAGTTTAATGGCACAGGGTACAGTAACAATGCAAAAAACTTATCTATTAGTCTATAGCTTTCAAAATCAGGAAATGTAAGTGTCCAGACCTAAAGGGAAAAAAAAAAAGAAAAAAAGATTTCATTTCTAAGCTTAGTTTGTGAGCTTCAGTGGGGGTGAGGGAGAGACATACAACGCTTTGGCCTAGAGTTGTGCCTGAAAGAAAGGATCAAGCTCAGTTATATCATTCATTTGTTCATTTCTCCAATTCATTTGCTGATTGTGCAATATTTGTTTACAGCTTTCCCAGAGGCAGACGAACAGGTCTGTGGACTAGCAGTGCCATGCATTGTTCAAGTTCACTCAATCCAATCAACTACCTTAGAGTCACATTAACCATCAAAGATATGCAGAATTTAGTCAGTTGGTTACACATTCAGATAATGCAATAGGTTAAAATGGCCTTAGGCATTGCAGCTCTTGATCTAAATCCAAGCTACGGAATATGCCAAAAATTTGCTTTAAAGATGCAAAACAGTGAGAATTTCTCATTGAAGAAATGCAAATGGTTATACTCAATGTTCTCTCACATGCCTAGGTATCCTACATGTTTGAGAAAGAGGTTAGTAATTTTACAACAAAAAGAAAGGTGTTCATTCTGACACTACTACAGATTCTCCTCTTATTCATCCAGTGAAAACAAAAGGGAACAACATTATTTCCTTTGTCCACATTTTGAATCCAGCTGTTGGGAAGACATAGGAGATGGTGAGGAAGAGCTTAGCTATTTTCTAAGCAATTCTGCAGAAAGAGAGAGAGAGAAAAATCGGAAGCCACATGCTGTTCATGTGCACAGTCATATTGTGGGGGCACACATATACTCAAATTAAACAATGGTGAGAGGAAGAATAAAGTGACACCATGCCCAGCAGACAAAATGGTGTCCAAAATCATTCAGTATGGCTCTAAGACAGATGAGAAGGTCAGCAGGTTTTGAATGTGAACAGTAGCACATGTTGTTTTAGCACACTTCTTTTCTCCTTCCAATATCTGGAATCCATAGGAAAAAGAAAAACTGGAAGAGTATTTCAAGTGCTGCACCATTCTTGAAAGCCTCCACGATGGCACAGTGGCTTGGCAAAGTGTGGCCAGGTACACTATGCATCTCAGGAATGAAGCACTTTCCAGAGACGCTCTCTAACGCTACTCAAGCTCTCTACTCAAACTTTTTAAAAAGTCTTCAAGATAAGAATAGCTTAAGAGAGTAGAGATGAATTTGCTCTTGCTCTTTATATCATGATTAAGTAGTCTACGATACAGGAAATAAAGCTAAGGGCTGCTGCAGTGTTGCCCCAGTCACATTCCAGTACCTGAACCTGGGGGCAAGCCTCTTGCTTTTTCAGAAATAGAGACACCAGTTTCTCTGAAGAACAACTGGTTGGAGAGTCATTCCAAAGGCATCTGCTATCTTTCATTCCACTGTTTAGCAACCAGGCTTCAAGTCAGGGTAAGGCAATCTGCATTTAAGAATAACATGAAAGAGGAAGAACCTCAGGGATTAGTTAAAATCTAGGAGAAGATTTCTTTTGGTGGAGAAAGTTGGAGACTTTTCTTACCTGTAAGTCTACAGTAGTAATGACAGTAGCCTGAAGCCTCCAATATTAGAGCCCACTGGGAATTCCGGCTCTCAGTAATAACCAGCAAAGCTAGGATTAGGAACAAAATTTCTGGAAGTATAGTAAGACTACATAAAGTACACTGAGACTACATAAAGTCAAAAATCCAGGTCAGAAGAAGTTACAAAACAGTGGAAAGTCCAAGTCTGCAAATTAGAATTTCAGGAACAAACCAAAAAAGCTCACTGCTTCACAGGCAATTCTCAAGCTTCTGCTTTTTTTTTTTTTTTTCTTCCTCCACCTACTCTGGCTTATCATACTGACTGAAGCTAGGGCCAGAACTTCAAATACAGAACAGAACTTTATTCAAACATCCCCAACCATCTTCCAGGGCCAGAAAATTGAATGGCATGATTATTCTGACAACAGTAGAGACCATTCTTTTAAAAACAGCAGTCCACCCTGACATTGGTCAGTAGATCTGTGGCCAGAAGGTCAACTTTTCTTTTCTCAGAGTAACTCAGGTTGTGTCAGAACTACTGGGGAGCTCTGGACCAAAGTGATCTATTTGCTCATCAGGAACAGATGTTCCCATTTCTCCTTTCAGGCCTTTGAGTCAGAGTTCTGTAAAATACAACATTAACCCAGAAGGTATACTCCACATAGGCATTGCAAACATTTTCTATACCTGTAAAATGGAAAAGCATGTTCCATTCAATTCAAACACAGATTCATTTTTGCCTTTGTAGGGTTCAAGAACAAAAATCCTTACACCTAAAAGGTAAAAATACAAGGCAAGAAATAATAGAAAATAAAAACCAGTAGAAGTTTGAAGAAAAGAAAAAAAAAAGAAAACCAAGGTTATTGCCCAAAAAGCTGTAAGGAAATGCTCTGATTCAGTAGAAAGTTGAGAGAAAGTGATGGCATGAGGCCGGCTCTACCCAGATGTACTATGTCTATGCCATATGTGGAGCGCACACACATCTACTGTTTTTCTTAAGGTTTAAAAATCTCAGGTCTTTCTCTCCATTCATTTCTGAGAATTTTTACACTTTCCTAAATCGAAGATTTCAGGTACTAATATGTCAGATAACTGAAAGGTGGAAGCCCTTACTTCCCATGCTAAATCAGACTGACTTTGGCTAGTTTTATTTAGTAAAGGGCAAAGCTCAAATTAAGCATTGCAAATACGCCAGTAGTACCACACTAAAACAGGACCACAAGTTTAGATTAGTTTAGAGCATGCGAAGAACAAGTTTGTATTGCTTGGAATATATCCTGAAGGCATACCCTTCAGTCTACTCAGGCACTCATTATTACTTATTTGATTGTCATTTAATACTTCATACGGAATGTCGTTAGACACTAAAGTATAACAGAATAGAAACAAAACAGTTGATGTGTTTTCTAAATAGACTACAAGCTGTTTAGTTTAAATTAGTCTAATTTAAAAGAAGTCTTAATATACAGACATAGAAGTCATATAAGCAAGAAATACGATAGCTCTTAACACTAGTTTCCATAAAACAAGCTTACTGGATCAACTTGCCTCTCTGGTTTTTTGACATTTTACTACAGAATTACATTAACTGATTCATATCAGAACAAAAACAACTTTCAGTGTATCATTTTATTATGTTCGTAATATGAACTAGGTTAACTGCTACTCAGGTACTACTAAAACTATAATTTGATAAATTACAGTGTAAGGATTATCAGATTTCATAAGAGACCTAATACAGGTGGTGTGATGAGCAGGTACACAGCCCACCACTAAACTGCAGGTTGTTCGGCAGACATTCCTCAGCTGAAACAACTGCAATAATCTCCACTTCGAAGCAAGTGTGTTTCAGAGGAAAAGTTCAAAAGGTGATTAATTCCCAGAGAGTGATAATCCTAAAACCGTCTATTTCGTTCTGAGACCTGCAGGAAATACCTTCTTGACAGATCAAGTCAATTGACCTTTCCTTTCAGAAACCTCTTGCACATTGAATTAAATTTCACAAGAGAAAGTGTCAGAGATGTGAAAACAACTATTTTTGCTGAACATTGCTGATAGAAATACAAACTCAGTTTTCAACTTTATAAAGGAGTATCTATGTCAATAACACTGACAAATAAAGTAATTGCCATAACAAATTATTTATATCTATTATCTTCAGGTAAGTAGAACATATACACAAACTCTCTCTAAAGGATACTGGCCCTAATCACAGAAATTTATTTAAAATCAAAATCATATAGACCATAAAACAACTATCTCTGAGAATGTTTTTGAGAGCTTATTTTACAAGAATAAAGAATGGCATTCTAAAAATGTTTTCTTTTGCAGGCAGATATAGGGAGAAACATCAATTTAACTGTAGGTCAGTTTATTAATGATAACAACCGACACATTCCTTACAGTTTATAGTTTCTTAAATAATAAAAACAGATAAACCATAGTTGTAGCCAATCCTTTGCAGCTTTTCACATTACTTAGTAAGGCTACATAAAAAAGGCATTCTCCTTTAGATTACATACATTAGCAAAACCTGTATACTTATTTGAAAAAGAGTATCACTGTCATAATGAGATTTGGTTTACTGAACAGAGAAAAACCGAAGAAAAGAAGTTCAATCAAAGCTACTATTCAGTGCAAGGATTGAAAATAAGGGAAAAGAATACACTGGTTATTGCTTTGCCTCCACCAGCCCTACTGTGAAATTTTCATATCCTTTTAAAGATGTATCCGGCACTCTGTAAAAGAAAAACACACAAATACACACAAGAAAAAAGTACTCACACTGTTTGGGTGTTGAATGGCAGCTTCGTGCTGCAGTCTAACCCGCTGTGGCATCATCACATCATCCTGGAATAAATAGCACACTGTTAGTGAACATAAAAAGGGTCACAGTACAGTACTCAGATACACATTAGAATATGCTGTTAAATTAACATCATTTTACTGGCTTGCAGTCAGAAATACAAATGGAACAAATATTAAGAGACTTTACACTCTTAGTGGATTAAACTCAATCCTGTTCAAATTGGAAGTGATCAAAACTATTACGTGACAACTGTGTTGTGATCTCAACATGTATCTTATGGGCACCCACACATTTTACATTTCTAAAGAAATCCACCACCTCGTTAACAACAAACTCAACACTGCAAAAGCAGTGCGGGTAGTATGTGTGGACAAGGAACTAACCTTGATTAAAGGCATGACATTTGAGACATTCTAGCATTATGAGGAAATGTTCTTTGTAGTCTGGCTATACCTTGCTTCATTGATAAGGAAAAGCCTTCAGCCTCTAGATCTACCGTTGTGCCATATTTCATGAGCACAAAAACTAGTATTTGTGAAATGATAAAATTCGGGGGGGTGGGGTGGGGGGGAGGATGACCAAAAAAACCACACCACACATAAAATGCATCAGCATTGACACTGGCTTCAAAACACACTACCTAGATTTAAATTGAATGTTAATACTTCTTTCACCTGTAGCATAAAGGTCTATTTTGTTTACATACAAAAAGACAGGTTGCCTTGTAAAGAGTAGTAACCTTGCTGTCCTTCCTTGAACAGATAGGAGACACTCCTTTCAAAATTATATACTTTCAAAATTGTATTATTTCCCGTTCAAGATTATATCCCTTCTAGACTATGGTTTTACAGTCTATTAAAATGCCCGACTGTAGCACACATTTTCTTCCCTAAATTTAGTCTCCTAAGGTTTCTACCTATATTCTTTTCCATTTTGGTGCCACATTTCTCCCCTTTTCAAGGGTCAGTTCAGTCTTTCTTATATGTTGGTTAAAACTAACACAACCTATTTCTCCTCAGAGTATTTCCAAATGGCCCTACCTTATCAGACAAACATAATTCAAAGGAGCCCTGAATTCCTGTTCTACATCCGTTCTTCTAACCGTTAAAAGAAATGGAGATTCCTACTAAAGCAAAAAAAAAAAAAAATTGAATTTCCAACAACTTTCACTTCAAAACTTTCAGTCAAATCAATGGCAACAAAAATATATTAGTGCTTAAATATCTAGAGCTTAGAGGGTTGAATGACCTTGATGTAAAGGTGACGCTATAGTTTTATCAAAAACAACGCAAGGATGAAAAAAATTGTAGAAGTAGATCCAACTATTTAATACAACTCAAGGTTAAAGATAAAACAAAGGAATAATAAAACTGACCCTTATCACATGCAAGTTTATAAAAGCTGGAAGGAATACATTGCCAAAAGCATTTTTCTATATCTTGTATTTAGGATATATTTAGTAATAAGCATAAGAGATGTTACTGATTTTCAAAGCCAATAGAGTGAAAAAAACCCTTCTGATTTCTCAACCTCAATACATCAGTTACTTCAAAACCACAATGATGTCGTTTACCATCAAATCCACTTTATCAATAAGGCACCAGAATTCAGGTACTGTATCAAGCAAATGTTCCAAAAAAACTTTTACCCTATTTCCCATAAGAAGAACCATAATCATATTTCTTTACGCCAAATACAGAGCTGATTTTTTTTAAATTAAGACCTGGTTTTCATATAAACAACAAGAGATATTTTAACTGAACTTTGTTTTCTCTTTTAAGAATTACTTAGGTTTCTTAGATGTCTAGTTAAATCCCTAAAAAATGAGAATGCAAAAGAAATCTATCAAAAAGCAAGGAATTTCAACGCTTAGAACAATGTTACTATTACCTCTTACAACATATGCTCTTGTGGTAAGAGATTCCACTGTTAATGATCCTGCACAACAGAAATCAGTTTAACAGAACTCATACATTCACAAAGATGAAAAATACTCTACTTGATTTTAAAAGGTTAAATCAGCGTAGAAAGTATTCAAACCAAATTCAGATATCCTATTCACCAAACAGGTCAATGTTATGTTTTTATAAGCAGACAACTTGACAGGAAAGGTCTAGTTCCCTCTAACAAAACACTGTCATTTTGATGCTATTGGCAAAACTAATAAGTCTACAGGTTTGGGTCTTAGGCCATCACCAAGATCATCAGTATTCTGTAAAATCCAGCTAAAGAGGGGGCACTATAACCAGAAAAACTTCAAAATGTTTTGAGGTTTTTTTAATACATTTTTGTTCTCTATTGCTGGAAAACTCTATGAACTCTTATCCTGAATGACCTTTTAAAAAACCACAGAGTGGAAAACAGAATATATTTACACAGAAATAATCTTAAGTAATGTGGTTGTATTCTAGACCGGTGTTTAAAAACCAAATTAAATTCTAATGAGTAAAACCAAAAAGATTGTACCACAAAAAAAGAGCACTTGAAAATTTTTTCAACTTCATAGGCCATTGACAGGAGTGAGACGCCCAACCAGGCACTGTACTAGTAAGTTTATGGAGTTTAAGCAACTATAGTATTAGACAACTAAGATGTTAAAATATTTTATCCAGTTGTACATTATGTAATCAACGAATTTTCTATCAAAAATGTTGTATTTAAGATATTGAATTCAGCAACTGTCTTGCCAGACTTTAGTTGCTACAGTCAACAGAGTTTGGTCATCTTTTTTGGTTTAAAACTGAGAACAAAACCTCAGTAATTAGACAAACATTTTCCAAATTATTTTTCACTCATGTCATATCAGACAAAAAAATAAGTACATATCTGAACATAGCTGCTGTATCAAAAAAGGAAGTATATTTAGTTTGTTTCTGTCTTCTGAGTAGAGAAGATAACAAGGCTATCAGTGAATTACATTGAATATATGATTTTAAAAAATGGAAGTTTAACAGAAGTTTCCACTGAAATTCAATTTCCCCTCTTAACATAAAAGTCTCTAAAGGCTGTCTCCTAGCAGATATAAGGCAGACAGGATGAAGAGAGATTTCCCCCACAGGAAGCACTGAAAAAAGAACAGACTTAAAATAAATGCTAGATAAATGCATGCCTTCACTAAGCATATACTTGCAATAGGGTAGCTAAATAAAAAAGAATCTGTAAGCTAATCTATTTTCATGTGACCCCACTCACCAAACTTTGCAGAAAACTTAAGAAAAATCTCAGGTAATAGCTGGCTTTACTGTCATCTAAATATGTACATACATACAATGCAAACAAGGCCAAACAAACAAGTAAACAGCAAGGAATAAAGCAACATAAATAGAAACCTACTTTCAGTACTCAAAATAACCCAGAATTTATAGGAATTTTGTTGATTACAAACATGCTTCCTGTTCTCCACTGTCCATTCTTACCAGGAAAACAATTTGCTGAAAGATGGGCAATGACAAGGACTTCACTTCACATGAAAAGCCAGCAGGGATTTCTAAACAGGCCCAGATGTGTTTCTGCCAGTGGGGTGCCATGATCTCCATCACCTTTCAGTCCGACAGGCATTCTGCCTGCTTGTGTTCCTACCAAATATATCCCTTCTGCAGAAAGCTGGCTTGCTCCTGTCAAGTTCCACACCACTTACAGATGCTGCCAAATCAGAAAAGCTAGTTATACAACTATCAGCTGGGTTGTTTTCCTTCCAACCAGAGGCACCATTCTTTATAAAAACACACACAATTTATACTGAGCTAATTGTTTTGTTTTACTTTACTCATATGTTTAGTTGAAGAAAAGGAAAACCAAATCAATAGACTGAGCTTAAGAATATTACTCAAAGCTGCTGTTGTTTCAGTATGTGTTTCTTAAATCAATTTGGGTAAATTCAAATGACAAGCATTCACTGGCCTCTTCAACCAGGCTGTCTGGACCACACTGAACTCCACAGTGATAACTTGATGATTTTTCCCTTGAAAGTGGGGTTTTCTGCACTTCAGAAAGTAAAACAAACCAGACAACTCAATGTACAATACACATCTACTTTTTAAAATCAAGGATAAGTTCACATAAAAGAACACACTAATTATAGCTCAGTATTGAAGTGCTTTCTTAAGCTCACATTACAGACTCAGCATCACATGCTTTTGTAAATTCCTTCGTATTTGGCTGCTCAAAACAAACCAAAAAAAAAGAGCGAGTTGACACACTCCATCCTCACAATAATAGCACCTTCTTTCCATTGCAGCTATTACACATAAAATACAACCTGTTGCAACACCAGGAGGAATGTTTGACTCGCTGAGAAACAGTATGGCATCTCCAAAGTCTTTGAATCCATCAAATGGTCATTCATTTATCCTGCACCTGCTCAGACTATAGTGAGAATCTTTCTTTGCTATTGTTCAGTTCAACTCCTTGAACCGGGGAAGTAAAAGGCCTGAGACCCCCAAAAACCAGCCCATCAACAGCACTACCAAAGCAAATACACTGATCCTAGGCAAATTTCCAGAAGGCAGGTTTTTAAACCTTTAAACCCCACACTATCAAACACATTAGAATCATGCACTCTAATGGCCACACACTAGTCACCTGAGCAGAACGCACCCTAATGATCTGTCAGTACTTGCAAGATCATAGGAAAAAATACTACCTTTCTGTTTCTACTTCTGAATTAAATGGAGAAAGAAGGTGACAACAAAGAAAACACTTCAAAGTTTAAGAAGCTGACTTTATTGAGCACCTTTCTATTCCTGAGCATGGAAACAAAAAGGTCTACATGGGAGGATATACTTGGTGTTCTTATGCGCCTGAACGGCTAGCACCTTCCATCAATATAAAATTAATTACAGTATTTTTATGGAATCTTTTAATTGAGCATCACTATTAATTGATGAATAAATTTTTGCTGTCGAGGCAGCTCCCACCTTGGTACATTTGTTCAGCAAATGCAGACACGCACCTTTCCATATCTAGCTTTTCTGTAGTCACTGGAGATTGCCTTGGATCTTTCTCAGAGTTAGATCACTGAAAAAAGTACATGAGTGTTTGCAGGCAAGGGAAGCAAGTAACTCACACGGTGTTCAATAGTAAAGTCAGTGAACTCAAGAGTAAAATCCTCACTGTCAATTCCAAACACCCACTTTAACTAATAAACAGATGAAGGTACATGTACGGAGAGGTTATGGCAACCAAATTCTGAAGGTTTGCTTCTTCGTTTATGAAACAGAAAATTAACATTTCACATTCCAGATAGAGGCATTTAATCTTTTTTAATACATGCAGTTCTTTACAGAACAATAAGAGGAATGATGCCTTCAAGCACTCATCGTTTGATTTTTTGGTGCTCATTAGTGATCAGAAACATGCACAGCTCTTCTGCACGGAAGAGGCTTCTGGTAACGGAGTTCATCACTACATCCCCATACCTGCTGTTTGAGTAACAGCTTATTTCAGGTTTTAAATCAGAGGATCAGATTTGCAAGGAATAGTATTGTTAAAACAACAACAAAAACCAAATACATTAAGTCTGATCACTGCTTCATTTCCTAAGCTATACAGATGTTAATTTGAAAGAAAGGAAGAATATTTCAAAAGTTTGTTAGTGCCTGTAGAGTAGTGTATAATGGCAACTAACAAGAAATCCATCTTTCCAAAACCAGCAAGTTATGGAGACTGTAAAAACAAGCAGCTATGTTTATAACTGAAAGCTAGCTTGAAGGCTGGAGTCCCTGAAACATCTACCAAGTCTGGCTAGCTAAGGTCCAACCACCTTCTTCCAAGACGTTTATGAATACCCCCTCAATGAAGTGTTTTTGAACTTGAAACTCAAGAAAAGCGTGCAATTTCACAGCAATTAAGAATTAACATTCCCAACTTAAATCGTACAAGCAAATCTCACAAACGGAAAGGCACAGGTCAGCAGCTGCCAATTCAAACATGGGAATGCCAATTCCGGTGGTCCACCCGCATTTTTGGTGAATAAAACTTAACTGTTTCCCTACGCCATTTTCAGCTATTAGCAAGCAGTGACACTGTGGCAACATGGTTTAGTCACATCTTTGAACTGGCTAAGAATCTCAGAAATAGTGATACATTGCCAACAGAGCCTTTCAAAAGACTAGAAGTGTGTCAAAGACTCAAGTGAACATGACTGGGTTTGAAATACTGCAGGTCAAAAAAGGACGCATTTTTATATTTCTTCTTTAACAGTCAGGAAGCCTCCAACAACACATTGATTAAACCTGAAATAATAGGAAGCTACAGAGATTATGAGGATGAAATGAAAGCATGTTCCTTTTTGAAGAAGCACAGTTTTATACAAGTATAGGCTTGTTTAAGTGAATGTAAATGAAAATAGCATTTCAAAGCAGAAAAAGGAATTTTTAGTGTAAGAGTCCTGCTGTACTGCAAGTGGATAAATGATTTTAAGAAAGATGGTAACCACCCCAGAGAACTGACAAACTAAGGTTACAATAAAATGCAACTGGTAGATAAAGTCATAACTGCAGACAATTTGAAAAAGAGTAAAGGTAACAGTGAAATGTATTTGCATAATTAGTTAATTCTATTGTCATTATGACCAAGATTTTCTGAGACTATAAATGTTAAATATGAACAATTTGTTAAGTAACTTCAATTTTTCTACTTGTTTTCCTGGTGGGAAAAATGCCTCAGTAGCTTAGAGGTGAAATCTGTAACAACAGCCACAGCAAAAAAACTCCATAATAGCTATTAGTCAAACAGCTGCCACTTCATACTAGAATAGGCTGATCAAATTCTGACAGTTCTGAGCTCTGTAACCTTTTTTTCCACATTTCTTCCCAATTTGTTGTCCTCACAAATCTGTGTTGAGAGACATAACACAAGCAGCTTGACTCCAGCTGGAATGGCAAGCAAAACAGTCTCTCTGGAGCCAGTACTTCCAAAGATGCTCCCAAATATGCTCGTACATTCATTTCACTTCTTTGAGTGAAATGAATGTACAAGGAGCCACAAGGTATTTGTCCACCTATATGAAATGCATACAAACTACTGACCCAGCCCCATTTCTCTCCACATCCACCTATAGCAAACCTGAAATTATGGCTGCACTTCTGAAGGTCAATTCCCTGGCATTACTGCAGCACATTCCAAAAGGCTGATATCAGCATTCCTTCCTAGAGAGCTTGATACTGGATTGGTGACTGAAATGAAGAAGGTAGGTGGCGTGCAGAAGCGGAGTTGTTAAACAGCTGGCAACATCTGTGTTTCAGCTATTATCACACACATACTAACTACGGCCAAAATATTGAGCAATTTTTAGATTGTAGCCATTTCCACATTCATTTTATTTCCTCCGATCTGTCTTCAGCAAAAAATGGTAGTCACAAGGAGAGACAGTAGAAAATATATTTAAGTAATGCCAATCATTTAGTATTTCTTTTGTATCAAGATTAGGCTTCTGATAGTTCAGAATACCTTCTATTTTGAAGCATCTAGCTCAATAGCAGTAATAGAAATGTGTAGAACAGAAAATCTTGGTAGCTTCTTCCAAGCTTGTCCGTACTGTAAGTCATAAAATTCTCAATCAAATCACTTCATGTAGGTCTTAATTATATTAAATATAAACTTATGCTAATGATAATCTTGCAGAAATCCAAAATCATCACTTGTTACATTACTTAATAGCTGTAATTTGTTCCCCTGATGTTTTCTTATCCTTCACAGCTAGACAACAAATAGAAACAACACAGCAGCATGAAGATGCATACTGTATAAACACCATAAGGTAAATAACAAAGTAAGAATTTTGAAGAGATCTCTATAAAAATATTAATTAATTTCATTTAAAGAATTTAATTTACTAGTTTACTGCTAGTGATTTACAAACAACTAGATCTGTCTGGATTGAAAAGAAAGAATAATCCAAAATTTACCTCAGTAAATTATTTTATACAATTTTGAGACAGAAGATATGAAGCTCCATGGGACAAGAGAAGAGTAGGTTAACTTCTCATTCATTTCTCACCTGGACTCAGCTAACTTCAGCCAATATAAGTACGTATGTAACTCATCCTATGAGCTCCCTAGAATGCCCCCTACAATACCTGAACTTTGCAAATCATAAAAAAGGTCTAATTTTTTTTCATTTTAGATATGTAAACAGCCTCTCTGACTCACAATATAGGAAAGTTAAATCCATGGAATCATTCATATAAATTAAACTAGCACCTGGGTTTGTGTTTACCTGAAGTAAAGCAAGAAGAACTGGATCCCAAGTTCATTCATCTCAACAAAACTGGCATCATTCCAGTCACTTCATGGCATAATTTATGATGCCCATACACTCTTTTAAAATCTGGTGAGTCAGGTGATCAAAAACAGAGCAGCAAATTTTGTGGTCATACTTCCTCAAAATAAGCTGTTTATGAAACAGACACTGATGCTCAGTGCTGGATTTGAAATACTTATTTTTTTGATGTATGAGAAACTGACCTTTCCCGACACCATTAATTTGTATATGTGATTGTGAGTTCTGTGTATTCAACGGATGTTCAAAATTGTTTCTGAAATACCCATATATACCCATATGTATCAGATACTGCATTTCAAAGCTTCACCCTCCATAAACTTACATACAAAGATTTACATGAAATACACTCTGTAAAACAAACAAACAAACAAATCCCAAACCCAACAAACTGTTAAAGGGAAACTAGGATAAGTTCAAATAAACGCGTTTAAAAAGGCACACTGTGTTGCTAAGTACAGTACTAACTTAATGAAAGCAAGAATAAAGGCCAGGAAAGCCACCTGCAAAACTTAATTTCTTAAATGGTATGACAAGAAATTTCTGCTGCATTGCCTTGGGTCAGAAGAAATATACCAGCACTTAACCATGTCTTGCAACACCGATTAATTCACAAAATGTTAACACACGAACAAAAAAATCCTTCTATCTAGTTGATACAACAAATGGAGTTTGCAAACTGAAAGATTACCCAAATTAAAACCTGTGTGGTTATAAGGCTGTAGAGTTTACATCCCTGCTCTCATGACACTTTCTAATAAGCACAGACAATCATAACATTAAGTTGAATCCTACCTGAAAACCTACACTTTCAGCAGCCAGTTCCTCCTAGTACTACACTAAACCATAGTTCAGTTCCAATTCAGAGGAAAGAATCAATCTTCGGGTGAAATTACATGAGATCAGTGAGCCTTAAAGGTCTTGCTCTTCTTGCCTGATCCTAGCCACATGGCACCATTCCTCAGATCAGCTATGCATATTTGTGAAACCCTTCACTGCATATTAAGCTGCGTAAAGTCAGATAGTTATCTGTGGGTTAGCGAGCTGAATGGGTTCACAGAAAGCATCCAACAAAGGACAGAAAAAAATTCAAGATGGAAGGTGAGACCTCTCCTATTTTCCATCAAAAAAACCAGTAGATTAGCTCTTAGTTTCTCATCAATATAATTTTCTGAAGAATGTGGGAAAGAAAAAATCCTGAAAACACCTAAATACCAACCTGGCCCAACCCTGCTCACAATAGCTTGTGAAATCCGATAGGATCAAAGAATGGTGTAAGGCTGTAGGCTTTCTACAGGTTGGAAGACAACTTTATGGCTATAAATAGTAACCAGCACGTTTAACGCCCACCCACCTTTAAACAGCTTGTCTTTAAGGCAAACCAACAACTACATTAAAAACAAAAGAATTTTATTGACAAAACTAAGTTAGACAAAATGCATTAACTTACTGAATCCAGAAAGCAGAGGTAGGTTCCTGAGCTCTGAATTACTGCTTGATTTTTAGCAAATCCAACTGTTGAGAAAACAAAGATAAAATTATGCGGTAGTTTTTACCTTTTCATTTTTTCAAGTCTTACTACAGTCAGGAACGGATGAAAGGAAACACAAAAATCAGTATCAGATAAAGCACACAATTTTTCCATGTTTAAAACCAGGTAATTTGTAAATATTTAAATACTATACCTATTTCAGTCTTCCCCTCTGAGTGGTTATCAGTTATATGTGTTAGAATTCTACCACCAAGTAGAATTAGACTACTTTTGCTAGCCCTCCACAAAGACATAATATGTAATATGTATCTTGAAGAGTCCAGCTACCTAGGTCTCACATACAGTACCTCAGATCATAGAATCACAGAATGGTTTGGGTTGGAAGGGACCTTTAAAGGTCATCTAGTCTAACCCCCCTGCAATGAGCAGATGCTGAAAACCCTTGGCTGTGTACACATATTCATCTCTTAAGTCATAACAAATAGGAACAAATCATAAAAAGGCAAAGAAAGAACAAGAGATAGCTAGGCAACTTGTTCTTCCCATCAGGTCCGCAGAAGGACTCAAAAAAAAGTTCTGTTCCATTATGCTTGTTAAGTATGCAAATACAAAAACTTCATGCATCGTTTATGTAATGGCACATGAAATGCAGACGGGAGCCAAAGCAGAAGAATATACGTACAAGGAGCACAAACCTGGCTTATTTATACCATAACATGTTCTACCATCTATGAAAGACCACACCGAAATACAAATTCAGTCAAATGACAATGTTGGCATCTAAGGTCTTTTAGTTTCTGACCCCCTCACACTTGTAGACTCTTTTACCAAGCCATTTCAGGAAGCTGAACCAGAAGAAAACTTTTTTGTCAGCTTCATTTCTGAAGCAGATGACAGCACTGGAGAGCCAAACAAACGGCAGAGCCAGAAAAAAAGGGGGGGGAGCAGGAATACACAGCCAAGGGTAAGGATGGGACTGCAGCAAGCAGCAATAAGATGAATTCTGCTTACCACTGAAATACATCTGCAAGGTAGGAGTGTTTACCTGCGATAATTTTTGTATGTAGACAAGGTCTACCTAAGAACATTCTGGTCTTTGAATTCTTCTCCTGGGCAGCATTATAAGAAAAGACCACACTATATCCAGTGTTATTCTGAAAAATGCTATATGAATTCCACTTGGTCATATATGCAACATTTAAGCTTCTTTAAAGTATTTATAGAACCAAGTCAGGGAATCCAGCAAAAGATTGCCCTGACGTGCAAACCAAATGATGTGAAGATATGCAATACTGTCAGGCTTTTATTCTTTAATGGGAAAACTGGAAATGTGAAGCCAGAAAATCTCACCTTTAAGTGGAGTAGGATAATTTTAAATAATATTATCCCTAGAGCTCCTGATTTTGCATTTGAAAAAAGCAGACTTCTGTAATTCTCTACACTTTTTATGTGATACAGGTTTAAGTTTGCTCAGGAAACAAATTTAACTGGGCTCAAAGGTTCACTTAGTTTTAACACACATGCTCCTTGGCTATTTTGCTGAATTGTCCAAGTACAGAAAAAGACTTATGACTGCATTTCTTACTGCCTCAAAGGAACATTATGTCAACTACCAACAGAACACTACTAATAAAGGCTCTTCCTTATAATTGTGTTATTCTTTTCTTATGTATTTTGAGTATTTTAATCCTCACCTTAACTTCTCTTCATCATGGATTTCTTGGCCTTAATATCTTGCAGTATATTTACATATTATTTTTTTATACACATATGAATATCTAATCTCACATATACAGTTACTCTCATTCTCCTTCCTATTGGCAGTAAAAAAGCAGCTGGCAAAGTCAGTAGCTACCATAACAGCAGAGCTGAATCCTGGCATGAGCAGTTTTAGTGGGAAACAACTGATGCAAGTTAGCAGGTCTGGACATGCCAAACAAGCAAAACCCTAATACTGCGGAGGTCCCTACTAAAGCAAGAGGTAAAAGAACAGGATAGAACTAAATTTGCCCAACATCAATCAAATCAATACTCTCATACATCATCACCAGCTGTAAAGCAGCCTGTACTTGCATTTCAATGGTGTCATTAGTATACCCCAATATTTCAACAATCTTCAGTAGAAAATAATGAAGTACTAGGAATCAATAATGTAGAAAAAGTGAAGGAGGCTCAAAGGCAACTACAAGATGACAATTATGTTACTCTATGAACTTTCTGGAATATTTCAGGTCTCGTTTTCAAGTAAAACACTTTAAATAAAATAATGAAATAGTTAATATTTGTTATGAGAAAAAGTTGGAAAATATTTCTTTCTAAGATTAAGGCAGAAACCATCCTGAAGCTTTCCATATACCAGCTATTTTTTTAGAGGGGAGAGAAGAAAATACACATATTTTAAAAATTATTAATAAGAGAGAGATAACTCCCCATAGAAGAAACTAGATATTAAAAATTGTTGCACCACAATGAATCCTATGTTTGGCACGAGCAAAAAATTTTCTTTAATATTACTCTACTGAACAAAATCAAATGTTTGTGCCAGGTCTCTGAGTTTTGTAAGGCCTGCTTACTTTGTGAAAAGAGCCTGTTACCATGGTTACAGCCGTAAAAACTTAAGCCTCAGTGAGATATTAACATTCCTCACTCTTGGAAAGAAAAAGGTTTCCTTTTTTTAGGCAACTGACCCTTTCTTTTTTTCTAGGTCCCCCCCCTTTCTTTTACATGTTAGAAAAGAATCAGAAATAAATCCTAATCTTGTGTAAATAGTTGAAGATGTGAAGCCTGGCTAGTACATTGTTTCTGTACTAAAGCATCTTCTTTTAAAAGAAAGACTCCTTACAGTTGTAACTAGTCCTTAACATAATAAAAGTAAATCACTGAAAGCAAACAACTACTATGGTTTTCAAGTAACCTGCTCCTAAAATGTAACAACCATGAAGAAAAGTTGTCCTCATTTTAATGGTGACCTGAGAGTGACTTCCACGTGAATAAGCTTGGTTTTGGGTTTTTTTTTGTTTTTTGGTTTTTTTTTTAAGAGCTATGCATTTCATACTATTATTTAAAACAATGCTCACAGCTGCATCCTCCACCCCCAATTTATTAAAGATTTGTTCAGGTTTCAGCTATCCCAACACTGACAAATGCATGTTAAAAAAAAAAAAATAACCTGACATATCTCTAATGGCACAATATACTCCTTGTAGTTCAGAACTCAAACTTAGTTTTAGTTTCAGTTTCCTAAAGTGCAAAGGTGAACTGACTTCAGAATTCTAACATAAATTATTGTCAAAACATTGCACCTGTGTGTTCCCACAAACTAAAAACTAGTTTACACACAATCAATATAACACTCTATTAGGAACAAGACTTTATACATAGAAAATGTTTTATAAAGATAGTATTAACAAAACATTACTAACCAACTTTCCCAAGTACCATAATTAACAACCTCTGGTATTATCCTTTGACTTTTTTCCTGAGAAATGGCAACCTACTTAGCTTCTAGATCACCAGCTACTAAAAGAAGTAAGATTTGAAAGTAGACTGATCACCCAATAGTTGAGGGGCGGGGGAAAGGAGATAGATAAATTTCCCGGAATACAAGCAATTCTTGACAATGCTCAACTCCAGCTTTATCAGTTGCCCAAAAAAGAGGAATTCCCTCTACAGACCTTGTCTGTCTTTTGTCATCACCAGCTCAATAATGCTAATATTACAAGTTGCACTGTCAAAACAACAACAGTTCCTGCTAGAGATATTAAAATACTAAAAATATTTATAGTAACAGTTATGCTGTGTTACTTCAGTATTGCTAGGTCTGACAACTGTGTAAAGAACAGCTTTAAAGAAGTCTATAGTCAAAAGAAGTGACAGTAAATAAAGCCAGGGGCCTATACCAAGTTGCAGATGAATTCAGTGCACAAACTCCTATTTATTTGCATGTTTCAGCAAGGGGGTGAAAATTAAGCCTTCTGAAACAGAACTGGGCTTTTTCATAAGAAGACCATTTTGAGGAGACTGTGATAAGCCTAGCTTTCTTTCCAGTTACAAACGGGACATTTTGTTAAAAAAACAGAAACTGAGCAGATTTTGTGTTACAGTGTTTCCAAAGTGTGACTTTTGAGTGAGATAATTTGAAAGACACAAATTTGGAACCAGTTTTATATCAATTCCTACCCATCTACTCATCGTCACAAAATCCAGAATGATAGAAACATTAGTTATACAGCTCCCATACAAAACGTGAGCACACTGTTCTGCTCGCTTTGTCCTGTTGCTGTTCTCTTTCAGAACACAGACATGATCTTCCAACTTCAATACCATTCAACACCTGCTTCTTCAAAGAGCAATATACTTTTATTTCTATTTTACATTTCAGCAAGCTTGTCTGTTAAAAGGACTCTAAAAATAAAACAACCAAAACAAGCAAAAGAAAAACTGATAGATTTGCTTGTTATCTCCTCCAGTGGGTAAATGTAATCCGTATTAGCATGTAAATCAATAGAGAATCACACCATACACCTATCTGGTAGTTCACTAAACATATTGTTTTAGCCCCTTGTGTAAATACTTAGGAGTTTAGTGGGAGTTTTTAGCTCACATCAAAACTCTTCTGAAACCTGTGTTTTGATCTGATCATCAAAGGGATATCAAAAATGTATGTTGTTCTATTTAGGGTCTATTCTACAACACTGATACGCATTTACTTTTTAAATAATTACGTAAGAAATTTTTGATTTCTTTTTTCTTAAAACCCATCTCCTGAAAATAAATCAGCTATTAGAAAGCCACAGTAAAATTGTAAGCATTAATAATGTTGTATATATCATAATTAAACAAAATTCTTTTGCAGAGTAGAGCACAAGTGTTAAGCCAAGTTCTTCTTCCCTGGACATATAAACAAATTCTACAGAGCCAAAACCATCAGGGCCAAATTCTAAATTGGAATGAGTTTTTGAACGGAGAGCTCTGGAAGACAATGTGTGTTTTTTTCCATTGCAATGCAAGTGGCTACAAAGACACTTTTCAAACTGCAAAACAGAAGATGCCTGCCACAACAACCTAACTCTCAAAAAAATCACTATTAAGCTACATACCGCCTCGAGGTTGAGATGAATCATTTCTACCAATGATTACTGGGACACCAGCATCTTCCAACTTGATCTTCCATTTTTCAATTATTTCAGCTGAACCGTCCTAGAAAAATGATGACATAGATGCAGCTATTTTAAATTGTATGGTGAACCACAGTCCAAAACAAAAATTCCTATCAGAGACAGTATTTACTTGGACAGTATTTTAAATAAGGTCTGAAACATACCTTACTGGCATCATTGAAAACTGATAGCTCCATAGTTCCTTTAAAATCTTGCTCCCAAACTGACTTCAAGCATTCATCTAACCAGCATTCGCTGTTGTGAACAGGCACAATGACAGACTACAAAAAAACAAACAAAAATCCAAATGTACGCCAGTAAGCACTATTTCTGTGTACTTACAGTATAAGAATATTCATTAAAAAGGGGAAGTGCCAGATCCTTCTGAAACTAACTTTCGCAAAAAATGCATCTTAAAAATATAAAAGTAGGCAAAATTCCTTTATTTTAATTATATATATACAATTTGCTTTCTTCTCTATCAATCTTTTTTTCCCCTTTTTTGAGTTCTACAACATGGCTTTTGGTAGCTCTCCAAGGAAATGAAAGAGACTACTGAACCAAAAATGCTAACAAAACATCTGTACCACCACACTAACCTGTTTCTAGTATTCCTGCATTTCTTATGACACTCTTTACTTCAGTCTTCCATTAATATATCTTACTCATCAATTTTACTTTAAGCTTACTACCTAATTGGAGATGCTCATATATGCAGCCTGTACCCTTGGGCTCTAGTCAAGTTTTTAAAAAGGATTCTATCTAAAACTGCTATTAAGCACATTAGAAGATGACATACGACATAGTTCCACAGTCTACCATTTCAATTGCAGGCTTTCCTATTGCAGCCTTGTCCTGGTTTCGGCTGGGATAGAGTTAATTTCCCTCCTAGTAGCTGGTACAGTGCTGTGTTTTGGATTTAGTATGAGAATAATGTTGATAACACACCGATGTTTTGGTTGT